TGGGATTATCCCAGCAGCCGGAGAAGGAGAGGGTGGGAACTGCATGAGAGCAGGAAGAAACAGATCCACACAGGGAGAGCCCCCCTGGGCTAAGCAGCAGCAGCAGCAGCAGCCGGACCCCATCCTGGTGCATTAAGGACCAGATCACGGAACACAGGATAAAGCCAGGAAAAAAACCCATCAAGGAATAACCGGAGGAGCCCATTTTATTCTGTTGCAGCGCTCAGCATCTCCTGGGAAGCCGACACCGGAGAGCAAAGGCAGGAGCCAGGCTGCAATTCCCTGGATTCCCCCCTGGAAAACGGCTCATCCCTGGGTGAAACCCACCCAAAAAGGGGCTTCTCCTCACAGAGCCCCCCCAGCTCGGCTCCATCCCGTGATGCAGCGGGAATAGCGCTGCCGGGATGACACGGCAGCATCACTGCAGAGCCCCACGGCAGAAAACCCCTCCAGTGCTTCCCAGCAAGCAGCAAAGCAGCTCCCACCACCAGCCCGGAGCCCAGCGCAGGGGGATTCAGGCCGTTATTCCCAGGGAAGGCAAACGGGAGCCTGCGGAGAAGCCGAATTCAAACCCTCAATGCGCTTCCTGCAAAGAGCAAGGAAAGCAGCTCACCTCCTCTGGGATGGCCACCGTGATGGGCTTTGGGCTGGGAGCAGCACCTCGGGGGAAGGGTCCAGGCACAGGGAAGCACATAAAGGAAAAGGAAGCTCACGTCTGCTATCGCTGCAGAATCAAAGCAGGAGCCGCGGAAAATGGCACACGCCGTTCCCGGCCGGTGCGCGACAAATCCAGGCGTATCCCAGGGCAGGAATTAGGGCACAAGCTCCTGTTGATGAGCCCAGAAACGGGGCTGATTATTCCCCCCGCCCCGGTGGGGATGGAACGGAGGCTGCGTGGCCACCACCAGGAGTTCAGCGCTGGGGCTTCTCGGAGGTTTTCCTCTGCAGCCGTGGATCCGCCGGCTCTCAGGATGCTGCAGCCATGGGCACAGTGGAGATCCCAGCTCCGCCTGGGTCAGGCCTTGGACCTTCAGTGAGGGACCAGCTTTGGCCTCCCTCCGCTGGTGCCGCTACCGATGACAGCGCGAGGGAAGGGGTGCAGGTCCCGGTGCAGCAGCAGCAGCCACAGAGCTGGGGTGTCCCCGAGCCCCCCTTGGTGCCCGCTGCAGTGGGGACAGCTCCCAGTCCTGAGGAGGGTCTGGCGGGGCTACGGAAAGGGCTGGTCCCAAAACACCCACTGGGTCCCTTTGCCTGTCACCGGGATCGAGTCATAAGGGAGGCTCCACAGAACACCTTGATCATGGAAACCCAGACTGGTTTGGGTTGGGAGGGACCTGAGAGCTCCTCCAGCTCCAATCCAGCTCCACGGACCCCTTCCACTGGAGCAGGGTGCTCCGAGCCCCTGTGTCCAACCTGGCCTTGAGCACTGCCAGGGATGGGGCAGCCACAGCTTCTCTGGGCACCCTGTGCCAGCGCCTCAGCACCCTCACAGGGAAGAGCTTCTGCCCCAGAGCTCAGCTCAGTCTCCCCTCTGGCAGGTTCAAGCCATTCCCCTTGGCCTGTCCCTACAGGCCCTTGTCCCAAGCCCCTCTCCAGGGCTCCTGCAGCCCCTTTAGGCTCTGGAGCTGCTCTCAGGCCTCCCCTGCTCCCAACACGTGAGGGCAAGGGGAGGGCAGGAGGACACGGCCGGGGCTGTTGGATGGAGCAGCTCTCCCGAGGCTGAGCGTGGTCAGCATCAGAGCCCGGCTCCTACCGAGATGACCCCGAGGAGCCTCAGGGCCTCTGCAGCGCGGGCTGGGCCGCAGAGCCTCCATCATGGCTGCTCGAGGTCCCACCACGGCCCAACAACATCACCCCAGTACCCCCCTTCCCCTCTCAGCACCTGCAGTGGGGGCAGCCAACGACCCCTCCCCACCTTTGGGGGGACATCAGAGCAGGACCCCAACAATGGTGGCTCCTCCTCCAGCACATCCCATCACCATCATCACCATCATCATCATCATCACCATCATCATCATCATCATCATCATCATCATCCTCATCAGCTCCTTCCCACCACCCTGGTGGGCCCTACCACTACATGGCTCCTTGGGGACCCATGTAACCCTCCAACTCCCCTACACCGTGTCCCCACATGTAAAGATCCCCCCCACCTTCTACAGTCCCCAGGTAGAGAACAAAGCAGCTTAAGGGGTACCCCGTGTCCTCCATAGGTGCCCCACAACCCTTACAGGCCCCCACAACCCAGAGGAGGGGAGAGCCTCTGCTGAAAGGGTCCCCCGCATCCTCTATGGGCACCATCCCCAACACCCCCCCCCCCCAGCTGTCAGGCCTGCCCCACAGGTTCTCCATTTGGAAGCCGGGCCCACGTGCCCTGCAGGCCCCTGCATCCCCTATAGCCCCCAGCCAGCAAAGGCCTCCCTATCCCCTAGAGGCCCCTCTAGAACCCCTCCAGCTCTGGGGCCTTCCATCATTCCCTATAGCCGATCAAGATGCAAAGCTCCCCCCATCCCCTTTAGGCCCCACATCCCCTATAGACACCCCGTCATCCCCCATAGCTCCACATCCCCTATAGACACCCCCTCAACCCCATAGCTCCACATCCCCTATAGACACCCCCTCATCCCCCATAGCTCCACATCCCCTATAGACACCCCCTCATCCCCCATAGCTCCACATCCCCTATAGACACCCCCTCATCCCCCATAGCCCCACATCCCCTATAGACACCCCCTCATCCCCCATAGCTCCACATCCCCTATAGACACCCCCTCATCCCCCATAGCCCCACATTCCCTATAGACACCCCCTCATCCCCCATAGCTCCACATCCCCTATAGACACCCCCATAGCCCCACATCCCCTATAGACACCCCCTCATCCCCTATAGACACCCCCTCATCCCCTGCAGCTCCCCCGGCTCCGAGGCCCCCCCCTCCTCTGCATTCCCCGGTGCACGCGGAGGGAGCGGCCGCCCCCCCCCCCGCCGGTACCGGACCCTCCCCTCCCCCCCCCCCCACTCACCGGGTCCCGGGGCGGGGCCGGGCGGGGCGGGGGCGGCTCCCGGGGGCGCGCGCAGGGGCCGGGCCCGCCCCGCCGCCGACCGCCGACAACAATGGGGCCGCGGGCGCAGCGCCGCCCCTTATATACCCCGCGTCACGTGGCGGCGCACGCCCCGCCCACCACGCTCCCCGCCGCCGCCCGCGCCGAGGGGCACGATGGGAAAGCGAGTCCTGAGGCCGCGGGGCACGACGGGAAATGTAGTGCGGAAGTGACGGGAACCACGCCCGCGGCCCGGGGAGGGCTCGCACCCGGTGCGGGCGGGGAGCGCCCCAGCCCCGCGGGGGAGCCTGGAGCGGAGCTCACCCCCGGTTCAACGGGAACGGGCTAAAGGAGGCCTCGGCCTGGGCACCGCCGCCTCCGTCCTCCCCGGCCCCTGCAGCAACGGCCCCGGCCCGGCCGCAACCTTCGCCATGCGCCCATCGCTTCACCCGGGGGTGCCACCAGCCCCGGGCACCGGCACCATCAGCACCGAGCTCGCAGCGCTCCGGCGGGGCTCCTGCAGGCCGAGAGGGAAAACCAGGCTGGGAACAGCGGGGGTGCAGCCCGGAGAAGAGACCTCGGAGCAGCTTCCAGCGGCTGGAGGAGGCTCCGAAGAGGGAGCTGCATCAGGGGCTGGAGCAGTGGGACAAGGGGTGATGGGTTCAGGCTGGAACAGGGGAAGTTCAGGTTGGAGATAAGGGAGCTCTTCCCTGTGAGGGTGCTGGGACACTGGGATGGGCTGAATGGAGAAGGTTTGGATGCTCCATCCCATCAAGGCCAGGCTGGACACAGGGGCTTGGAGCACCCTGCTCTGTGGAAGGGGTCCCTGCCCGGGGCAGGGGTTGGGACTGGAGGAGCTTTAAGGTCCCTTCATCCCAAACCATTCCATGATTCTATCTTCCCCCTTCCCAAGTGATCTGAACGTGCACAGGAGGTGAGGGGGCTCCTGCAGGGAGAAGCAGGTGGAATCGGTTCATGTTTTTCATGTCTTCTCCTGGCATCATCCTGAGGCTCCCACAGCTCAGGGCAGGGCCTGCAGCAGCTCAGGGCCAGGGTTTAGGAAGCAAACGAGCCCAAAGCCCGGCACAGAGGCCAAGTGGCCACCTCCTCCCGCCTGCAATCACCACCCAGTGCCTTCGGCCAGGCCCTGGGCAAACCAGCCCAGGTGGCTCCTGCCCCCCCTGCCAGCACTCGGCTACGACCATGCCCAGGGTTCACCCCTGCATCCCCCAGGTCCTGGCCAAGCCCAGCTCTGCTCAGCCCTGGAAGCACCTGGGAGGTGCCTGGATGCGAGCGGGAGCCCAAGCACCGGCTGTGGGGAGCTGCTGAGGCTCCGGCGCTGCAGCAGGGTCTGAGCAGCGCAACCCAGGAGCCAGAGGGGAGCCGGGGATGTCCGGGCGCTTCCCCCCGGGATGGGGGCACAGCAGCGGCTGTGGGAGCTCCGCAGGTGCAGGCAAAGGGACTGCCCCAGCTGGGACTGGCACTGGGAATTGCGCCTGCGGCCCCGAGGCAAGGAGCAGCCCCAGAGGATGGGAACAGTCGCTCCTGGCTTACAACCGGCAGCAGGGCCATGACCAACGTGAGAGTCACATCCAGCACATCCTGCCCTGTGCTGGAGCTGCCCGGAGCCTCACTGGAGCTTTTACTCTGCATTTCTGCTCCTACGTTTTGGTTCCAAACACCCTCGGGTCGTGCTGCTGGTTCATTCAGGCAGCTCCGTAGCATGGGCAGTCTCTACCAGCTGATCTTGCACAGGATCCATCCCGTCAGGCCACAGCCTTCGCCCCAGAGCCTTCCCTGCTAGCCTGGAACCCTGCACAGAGGCGCTTCTGCATTCCATAACCCTGGGATCCTGCTGCCTCCTCCTGCTCAGCGTGCTCAGGGCTCCCCCAGTGCTGAGGCATGGGGATGCAGGGGTAGAGCACTCGCTAAAAGCTGCAGCCAAGAACCCCAGAGCACGCTCGTTCTTTATCCACCTCTGCTGCATTCCGCGGTTTGCTCCAGCTTTACACACCCCAATCCACATGGAAAAGTTCCTGACCTCCCCCTTGCATGGGAAGAGGGACGGCACCCATTGAGCCAGTGCCACTTTCGGGTGGGTGGAGAGGAGAAACCCAAAGTCCCCACCTCTGTCTAAGAGATGCATTGTAGCATTAAATGAAAGCTTAATAAAACCTTTGAAGACCCCCCCAGCCCTCACCTCCCACTCCAGCAGCACAGCACGCAGTGTATGAGACCTGCCCAGCTCAGCACCTGCCCCAGGGCCGGCTGGCTCTGCTGGGCCACTTGCATTCATGTTCCCTCCAGTCTGCCAGCGTCACCGGGGCCCCGCAGCAGAGCTGAGCACGTCTGCCCCAGCCAAAGCCCTCAGCAGGGCTTGGGTCCCAAGGGCAAAGCTCTGCCCAGAGCTACACAGGAGAGCTCCCAGCCTCGCTGCACGTTAGCACCAGCATCAGAGGCAGGAGGCTGAGGTCCTCTGCAAGCAAGAGCCGAGGAGCCGGCAGCTGGGGGGCTTTGCAGAGGATGCTCCTGAGTTCCCAGATCTCTGCTCGTGTCCTTGTGCTGGAAGTGAAGGGTCTCCACTCGTGATGGGAGGATGGTGAGTGCTCCTCCTCCCGTGCCCTGCTATTTCAGGATGATGTGGTAGCTGTCATTGGTCTCAGCTGCAAGAGAAGCAAAGGGCATGAGCCACCCACCCCGGCCAAGAACCCGCTGGGCTGAGCGGATCTCACACGAGAGCTCCCCCCAGGAAGGGCAGGAGGGAAACAAGCTGGAAGCTGGGCACTTACACACCTTTCATGGTGTCCAGAACGAAACAGGATTCATCTTGGAAGTTCTGGATCATCTGCAAGAAGCCAGAAGAGCCAGCTTAGCCCAAGGCTGTGTCTGAACACAGCACAGGTGCCTCACAGCGAAGTGAGGGCTTCGTGTTCAGCCATGGGCACAGGGTACAGGGCTGGAAGCTGCTCGGGCAGGAGCTCAGTCTCTGGGAGGTAGCAAAGGCACCAGCCATAAATAACTGCTCCCTTCTGCAGCTCTCCAGCACTGAAGGTCCAAACAGGGAAGCAAGGAGAGAAACTCTTGGGTCTCAAAGCTGAGTCCTCCCCAGCCATTCCCATCCCTGGTTTTAGAACAGAGCTTGGGAGAGCTGCTCACGCTGAGGAATCCCATGGGTTTAAGGGAGGTGCCCCCAGCAGCACAGCAGCGTCCCCAGGCATCAGCATCTTTGGCTCTCCTGGCTTCAACAACGAGCTCTGAGTCCTTGGAACCTGAGCAGGGCCCTTCCTGAAGTCCTGCCCCCGGGATCCCTTCCCCAGGCCCCTCTGCAGCCTCCACCAAGCTCAGAGCACTCTCAGCCACACACCAGCTGAAGCAACGCAGTGCAGGAGGTTGGAAAGGAGGAGCACCCAGAGGCTGTTACCTCGTCACTGATGAGCACGTGGATCCCCGTGGGCCCCTGCTTGTAGATCTGGCTGATCTGCTGGGAGGAGATGCTGAAGAGCTGGGCCAGCTTCTCCGTCAGCTCCACGGCCGTCAGCTCCTCCAGGTAGATGGCGTGGTACACTGCGAGCAGGAGAGCCCCTCTAGCAGATGCCAAGCAGGGCTTTGGTGCCCACACCGTGGCTGCAGTCGCTGCTGTGCCTGACTCACACAGCAGCTGCCAAGCTGCAGCACCCCCGGTGCCTGCTCATGCTGCAGGATGCCCTGAGCTACAGCAGCAGCAGCTCTGCAGTGACCTGCCTGGCACCAGTGCCCTGCAGGGCTCTTTACTGATGCAGTCCTTGCCCTAAAAGCTTCTGTTTCGACTGGCATCAACCAAGCAGTGTTTTGTACCGCTCCTGGGGGTGCTCCAGTCCTGCCCCAGCTTCCCCCCTGCTCCCCCACTCCCATCAGGCAGGTTCCTGGGGGAAGGGAGAGGATCCATTTTGGAGCAGGGCAAGGAAAAGGAGGAGCTGGTTTGCTTCTGCACTCACTCCAGTCACGGAGGTGACAACTCAGGGCCTGCTGCTGCACAAATGTAGGTCACTCCCTGTTGTCTGGGCATGCTGGATTCTCACAGCAGCATCTGTCAGCTCAGCAGGCAACCAGCCAACAGGCAGGGTCTGCAGCCCCATCTGGTGAGACAGGTCAGCTGGGCAGGACCAGGGTGATTAATAGGGCTCATCCTTATCTTCTGGCACCCTTACCCCTCGGTTTGTGACACCCCCTGCACTGGGCTGCAGGCAAAGAGAACGGCAGCAGCCAGCACGAGATGCAGCAGCTGAAAACAGGAGCCTCAGACCCTCCTGGAGCTGCTGTGCAGGCTCTGTGAGTGCTAGCAACACAAAGAGGGGCCTTTGGGCAGCCCAAACCCCACAGGCAGTGGCGTGGGGATGAGGAGATCAGAGGCAACTGGTGCTGAGCGTCCACGAGCAGCAGGAGCAGGGCTGGAAACAGCCCCAGGGTGAATCTGAATTATTCCCCCCCGGTCCTGCTGCAGGAGCCCAAGCACACGTGCCCCCAGCCAGGCTTTGAAGCCCTTACCAAAGAATGTGCTGGTCACTGTGTCCCCGTCCTCGTGCTTCTGCTGGAGGTCCCTGAGCTGCTGGGACTCCTGGCACACGTAGATGGTCAGTCTGGGCCGCACCATCCTGTGGACAGAGCAGGGACTGAACCCCACCACATCTGCTCTGACACCTCGAGCTCCTGACCCTCTGCCAGCGCTCTCCCTGCCCAGTATCCTCAGAGGGAAAAGAGGAGATCAACAAACTCATCTCAAAGCAAATCTGTCGTGGTCATCCCCACCTTGGTGATGCTGCCCCCGGAGCATGAGCAGCAGGGCAGGGAGGGGAAACCTCCCCCTGCAGGCCTGATCCAGCTCTGGGGCAGCAGCACAAGAGGGACGTGGAGCTGCTGGAGAGAGACCACAGGAGGCCATGGGGATGCTGCAAGGGCTGGAGCAGCTCTGCTCTGGAGCCAGGCTGAGAGAGCTGGGCTGGGGCAGCCTGGAGAAGAGAAGGCTCCTGAAGGGGAGACCTTAGAGCAGCTCCAGTGCCTGAAGAGGCTGCAGGAAACCTGGAGAGGGGCTTGGGACAAGGGCCTGTAGGGACAGGCCAAGGGGAATGGCTTGAACCTGCTCGAGGGGAGACTGAGATGAGCTCTTAAGGCAGAAGCTCTTCCCTGTGAGGGTGCTGAGGCGCTGGCACAGGGTGCCCAGAGAAGCTGTGGCTGCCCCATCCCTGGCAGTGCTCAAGGCCAGGTTGGATACAGGGGCTCAGAGCACCCTGCTCCAGTGGAAGGGGTCCCTGGGGCTGGATTGGAGCTGGAGGAGCTTCCAGGTCCCTTCAACCTAAACCAGGCTGGGATTCTGTAACAGGAAAGCTGGCCCAGGGGCATGGTGCCATCTGGTACCAAGCAGCTGAACTGGATGGGTCACCCCTGAGGCCTGAGCAGCCACGGCTCAGATCGAGCTCTGCTCCTTCTCCTTCAGTCTCACTTTGCAGTGCAGCACCTCCTGTCCTTCGTGCCCTTCTCCCCAGCACAGTGTGACCACAGCTCCCATGTCTGCTGTCAGAGGCAGATCCCTGACCCCCTGAAGCGCTGCCCCATATCAGATATCCACGCCGATGCCTCCCCTGACCTTCCCTCCCGGATAAAGCCAACCCTGTGCCTCCCCACCCGGCTGCAGCGGCCCCTTCCCAATGCTCCCGCTCAGACAGGTCAGGTCAACAGCAGTCCCTGCTTCTCCAGGGAGAGGTGCAAAGGAATAGTCCCTTTTGGGCAGGGAATTCCACGTACCGGCCCTTCAGCGCGTTGAAGAGCCTGATGCCATCCGCGGGGCCGCAGATCTGGATCACGTCCTCCCTGGTGAGCTTCAGCAGGTCTGCACCTACAGCGTGAGGGGGAGAAGTCAGGAGTCAGCCCAGGGTGTCTGGGATGGGGGCTCTGGGCTCCCCCTCCTCCTGCTCACAGAGCTCAGCCCATCCCCAGACTGCCTCTGCCTTTTGGGAACAACGTCCCCCCGCTTCCCCCAAAGGTTTCTTTGCCAGGCTGGTTTTGCAGGAGAGTGTTTTGGTGCACGGGATCGTTCCCAGCCCGGGTGACCCTGGATCATCAGGGAGGGAGAGGCAAATAAATGTGAAGCATCTCTTCAGCCACAGCGCTCCCCCCCAGCCCTCAGCTTGCTTTAACATCAGAGGGTGCTCTTGGAGGAGAAACCACCCCAGTCCCCGCTACGTGGGCGAGGTGAGAGACGAAGAACAGGGCCTTCAGGGAGCCCCATTTAGTGGGTTACAGTGAAACAGGAGGTGTTAAAGAACGTTTCTGTTTGCATGGGGATGGCCTCGGGAGCAGGAGGAGCCCGGGGCTTGGCTCGGAGAAGGGGCAGGCACAGGGGGGATGTGGGAACCTACCGGAGAAGTTCCGGAAGAGCCGCGAGAAGGTGGAGAAGCGGTTTCGGTGCAGCCACTGCTGGGCCTCCTGCGGCGTGCTGGTGGGCAGCAGGTTCTGCAGGGAGGGACAGGAGGGGCACGGCCTCAGGGGGGACGTGGCAGCGGTCCCATGGGGGAAGCAGCCCCAACTGGGTTCACAGCCTAAACTCGAGAGCCTGCTGAGCCCTCCCGGCACACACAGCAAAGGCTGCAGCCTGCACGGGCTTGGGTCTAAAAGGGCTTCAGAGGGACAGAGGGAAGGGAAGGAAGCAAAGGGGGAAGCACAGTGAGGACCCAGGCAGTAAGTAAGAAGAGGGGCTTTGGACAAGGGCCTGTAGGGACAGGCCAAGGGGAATGGCTTGAACCTGCCAGAGGGGAGACTGAGATGAGCTCTGGGGCAGAAGCTCTTCCCTGTGAGGGTGCTGAGGCGCTGGCACAGGGTGCCCAGAGAAGCTGTGGCTGCCCCATCCCTGGCAGTGCTCAAGGCCAGGTTGGACACAGGGGCTTGGAGCAAGCTGCTCCAGTGGAAGGGGTCCCTGCCTGTGGCAGGGGTTGGAGCTGGAAGAGCTTTAAGGTCCCTTCCAACCCAACCGACTCCATGATTCTGTAATCAAAGCTCACAGTGAGCTCCAGAACACTGCCCCAGCACTTTTCACTCCATCACCTCTTCTTCTAATGAGGAGTCAAAGAAAGAGTTTCAGCTCCCCAAAGATGTTCAACCAGAGCAGACTCCCCCCAAGCAAACAACCCCCAAAATCCCATGTTCTGACCTGTGCCCCATCCTTACAAGCATAAGCTCTGAGGTGTGACTTACATCTGCGATCGGAGGAGGAGGCTCGGGCTGGTGGTTTGGAGAGCCATTGCTGGGTTGGGAAGAGGCAGACAGAGCAGAACATGAGGTTAGAGCTGATCCCCCCCTTCTTGCCCAGGATCCCAGCCAGCAGCAACCACCACCCTCCACATCCCACAGCCACGAGCACTGGGACACAGGGCCGGCAGCACAGCCAAGGTGCAGTGGGATGTTAAGAGCATTAACACAACAGGGAAAGGCAGAGTGAGGTGGGCTGGAAGCTGAACGTGTGAGCAAATGCTCCTTGTGCCAGAGCCGAGCTTGGCTGCAGCCACAAGTAACAGCCTCAAGGGCTTTGACAAGGGCCTGCAGGGACAGGCCAAGGGGAATGGCTTGAACCTGCCAGAGGGGAGACTGAGCTGATCTCTTAGGCAGAAGCTCTTCCCTGTGAGGGTGCTGAGGCGCTGGCACAGGGTGCCCAGAGAAGCTGTGGCTGCCCCATCCCTGGCAGAGCTCAAGGCCAGGTTGGACACAGGGGCTTGGAGCACCCTGCTCCAGTGGGAGGGGTCTCTGGAGCTGAATTGGAGCTGGAGGAGCTTTAAGGTCCCTTCCCACCCAACCCATTCCATGATTCCATGGCCTCTCGTGCAAGCCAGGCTCTTCTCCAAACTCACCCTTCGCCAATGGAAAAGCTGCTGTGGGAACTGTTGAAGCCAGGGGATGGGGAGTTATTGACGTAGGTGATCTCTGGCCAGGGGGAGCACTAGAAAGGAGAACCCAGAATCGTCACAGGGTTGCTCTGAACAAGCTCCCACATCTGCTCTGCTCAGCACAGGTGAGCAGCTACCTCCAGACTGACTATGAAAGACAATTAAAGACTAAAGTAGGGGACCAGAAGCAGCCAGGCTAAGAGACTGCAGATTGTCCCAAAGCTGGGGTTTAGTGATTCTTAACCTCAAAAGGCCCAAAGTCACACAAGTCAAGCAGAGAGAGAGCTGAGGTCTAAGCCAGTGCTCTGGCTCTGGTTGCACACCCGGTGCCCACCAGCCTGGGTTCCTCCAAGCTGCAAATCCATGGTGGATTGAGCCCAAATTAGACACTGAGAAGCATTCCCAGATCAACCTGGGGCAGGACGAGGGCTCCTTCCCCCAGTTACCATCTCTTATGAGATGATCTATAGAGCGGGGACACCCCATCCCGCTGCCAGGCACAAGAGCCCTTTCTCAGGTCTAGTAAGAACCCTCCCCTCTGCCTACAGAACCAATCCTGCTTTTGTCCTGCAGCTATTCCCAACCTGGCCAGAGGCTGGGAAGCAGAAGAGCCAATTCCCTGCCACCCACAGGCAGAAGGAGCCAGGTTTGGTTACAAGAGCCCTGCGAGTGCTGCGTGAGGGCCCCACCTCAGTGAGGATTGTGGTTTCATAGGAGGGCTGGTACTTCTCTTTCTCATGAGGTGTTCGCTTCTCCATCTTCTCCCTGTCTGTCTTCTGCTTCCGATCAGCTCCTTTGGGCTGGAAAGGAGAATTCCTGTGAGAACAGCAGCGTGGAAGGGCAGCAGCAGGTGGGGGAAGAGATGGGCAGTAAAAGCAAGGACCCACCTGGTGCTTTACAGAGGGAAAAGGAAGAGAGGCTGGGGGTCTTTGCACAGAGAATGAACCACTTCTGCAACAACCCCAAATTCCCTTTAAGCTTGGCTGTGTGTGGTCTCTGCCCACACCCCCTCCCAGTCTCCCAGTATCCCACTCTCTTTTCCTTAGGACAACAAAGTGGAGACCTGAATAAGCTACCACAGTGCTCTGGGTGAGGAGGTGCTGCTGCTTCTGGTGGCCTAAGGACCCGTTTCTGCCATGAAAATCTAGTGGTTGCTGTTATGTTTCCATGCTCAGGACTGCTGCTTCTGGTGGCTAGGAAGGATCTGTGCTTCAGACCCCAACATGCATGGGGAAAGGGCCCCCAGCAGCTCTTTGAGATCACCAAAACACTCCCAGCTTTGAGGGGCAGGAGCCCAAACCCCGTTACCCTCTGCCAGAGGCCATGCCCTGAAGCTACAGCTCCATTGCTTTGGGTTTTCCTGCTTCAAGGTCATCAGAGCCAAAATCCCCAAGCCCATCCCTGGCACAGAGAGCTGGAGCTCAGCAGGAATGCAGCACCCAATGCCTCCCAGCCCCACTCTCCGGGTGCTTGTCCTCATCCCTTCACTCCCAGCCACCCGCTCTGGCTGCTTGCATTGAGGTACGAGCCAGAGGCCAAACAAGCCCTGACAACCACCCCCTGCCTTCAAAATGTCACCATCCAAACAGGCAAAAAGGGAAGAGGGAGAAGATGCCAGGTCAGCACTGGCACAGGCACCTGGGCCCCCTGCGTGCCCAGTGCCCCGAGAGGGAGCTGAGGAGCCACAGATGAGATGTTTAGGGGCAAGGCAACCTGACAACCAGGCAGCACAAAGGACCCTCCTCAGTCACCCAGGCCACCGTGGCTGCCCCTGCCATATCATGGCTTCGGCTGTGTGCACATGAATTGGAACAGGGACCAGACACTTGTGCTGCTGGAGAGGCTGGATGCAGAGGGCCCATCAGAGGCAGAGGACCCATCAGAGGCAGAGGGCCCATCAGAGGCAGAGGGCCCATCAGAGGCAGAGGGCCCATCAGAGGCAGGGGACCCATCAGAGGCAGGGGACCCATCAGAGGCAGGGGACCCATCAGAGGCAGGGGACCCATCAGAGGCAGGGGACCCATCAGAGGCAGGGGACCCATCAGAGGCAGGGGACCCATCAGAGGCAGAGGGCCTATTAGACACAGGGACTAATAAAGGGAGGAGTTTAGACAGACACTAAAGCTCCCTGGAGGATCTCCCAAGCTGGTAAGACTCAAGACTAAACGTGGGAGGTTCCAGACAGAGGCAGCACCAGCCACGGTCTCTCTGCAGGCTGCTCTTGGCTCGCTGGTTTTGAAGCCTCAATGGCATTGACAGAGGAGGAACCAGGGAGAGGGCAGCAAGGCAAGACCAGAAGGAACAGGAGGCCCTTCTTGCAGGCAACCTTGGTCATGGTCCTGCACCCATGATGTTCACTGGGGCTGCAGTGTGACCTGGGACTGACTCCCAGTTTGTTTCTTAGTGGGAAAAGGCCACCAATGGGCTGAGGTACCTTGAAGACCTTGATCTGGCAGCTGGCAGAGTGCAGATGCTCCGTGTACTCCCCGTTCTCATTCTCCTTGAATGTGTCTATCTGGACCCGAAAGGGCACCCCCTTCTCTCCTCCATGCTTCCTCATGGTGAACTCTGTGCTAATACAGTGGACCTGGGGAAGGCAAAGCAGCCTGGGGTTAGGAACTGTGCCACGGCTGAAGAGCCACAGCTTCCCCTTCCCTTGTGGGCGCCAGGACAGCCCAGGGTGGAATCCAGCACGAAGGAGTTAAGGGGATGCCACAGCACAGCTGGAACCACATTCTTTCCACACGTTTTGCAGCCTCTTACTGGTCCAAGCAAGCCCTGAGCAGCGGCACAGAGCTGGGCTGCACCAGCCTCCACACGCCGCAGCCTGCTCAGCCTCCCAGCCTGCAGAGGGGTTTGAGGCAGCTGCTGAGATGTGCAAGAGCATCTGCTGATGATGGAGACCCAAACCATGAAAACAGCAGGACCTAAACCACCAGCAGAACGCGTAAAACTCACTGGCAGTCAGCTGTGCCTGTGCCTGGCTAATGCACAAACTGCTGCTCTCCTGCACTGCTGCAGGCTGGGTGTATTTTAGTTGACATCCTTCTACCACTGTAGCATCTGGCTGCTATTTCAGTGCTCCCAGTTAAAAGAAACATCTTCTTCCCCCTTGGAAAACTTGCATTTTCCTATCAACAGGAGCTTCTCCACTTCTCTCTTACCTGGATAAACACAGAAGTCCTCTTTGAAGGATCCCATAGGAACTCCACAGTATTGAGCTGAGTTGGGTTTGCTCTGGGGTCAATGATGCCCACAGACATTGGGATATCTGGAGGGGCACATACAGAGAACAAGCTGCCTTTTGTAGCAGAAAGAAGAGGAAGAGCTTCCCAGGGGACACATGGGAGAAGCAACCGCGTCTCCCAAAGTGCAGAATCCTGACAGCACCTTGCCCCTTAACCTCAAAGGAGCAGGAGCCCGGCTGGAGGCACCTCAGCACCTCCATCTCCTCCTGCCCCCGCCATGGGACTCACCGATGTCCAGGATCCTGTCCCCAGGCCGGTTCCAGCGCCAGCCCTCCAGCTGCTGGTGCTCCGTGTACTGCAGCCGCCGGTCGTGGAACACCACCCGGAATATGCTCTGGAGGGGAGAGGCAGTCAGGGCCTGGAGCTGCTCCCTCCTGCAGGGGATGGTCCTGGCTGGACACAGCCTCGTGCTCTCCACTCACCTTGACCAGCTTCCCGTTTATCTCGGGCAGCTCCCCGATTTTCCTGTTGTCCAGCATCCGGATTTCATAGGACTGCCCTGGGGGGAAGCAGACAAAGACCCCTCGAGGTTAGCTGGGGATGGACCCCTCCTGCTGCCCCTCCTCGGGCGTTCTGACATCGTTTTCTGCCACACCACGCACGCCACTGGATCTTCAGGCTGTGTTTCAGTGGGGGGAATACAAGCAGGAGCCACTGGAGCCACAGCTGTACCACCCCCCTCCAGGAAGAGACAATCCTCGCCCTTCCTGCAGCAGAACTTCCCAGGAATCACCTTTATTAACCCAAGGGAAGAAATCTGTTACACAAACCTCACCTGCCTTTGGTCACCAACCCGGATCTTCCAGTTCTACCTGGGAGCAGTGGGTACAGATGGAACCCCACACGGATACACAAGTTAACCCCCTACACCCTGTATATTTCCATCAGGTTAATCCTACAGAGCATTGACACCATTGCTGTAGGCAGAGCACAGGCAGCAAGGGGAAGGATGTGGCACTTCCAAACAGGAGCAATGTGGGATTTACTACCCCGTGGGGCTGACTACTCCATTATATTACAAGGGCCTGCAGGGACAGGCCAAGGGGAATGGCTTCAACCTGCCAGAGGGGAGACTGAGCTGAGCTCTTAGGCAGAAGCTCTTCCCTGTGAGGGTGCTGAGGCGCTGGCACAGGGTGCCCAGAGAAGCTGTGGCTGCCCCATCCCTGGCAGTGTTCAAGGCCAGGTTGGACACAGGGGCTTGGAGCACCCTGCTCCAGTGGAAGGGGTCCCTGCCTGTGGCAGGGGTTGGAGCTGGAGGAGCTTTAAGCTCCCTTCCCACCCAAACCATTGTGTGATTCTATGACTGCAGCCACTATCCCAGCGCTTCCCATCCCCAACAGGAAACGTCCAAAGGCAGAGTTCCACTTTCCAGGCTGTTTCCTGGAGGCTCAGGGGGCTGCCCTCACCTTGGTTCAGATAGGTGAGGGTTTCATCGTGCAGCTTCACGGCGGGCGACGTGGCCGCGCACAGCACGTACTGGAAAGGCAGGATTTTGTTCTCGTTCTCGGGAGGCAAACTCGACTCTTCCTGCTTGAAGATGGGCAGGGCAAGGACGTCGCTGCAAAGAGATTTGTCAGACACAGTCACTCCAGCTCCGGCTCCAGGGAGATGATGCGGTCGCTTTTAGGTCCTCCTCCTAGGAAGAGCTTTGAGCTGGTTTCAGTTCAAACCCCTCAGCCCTGTCATCTCTGCAGCGCTGCCACGGAGCAGGAAAGCCCTGGCACGTGCTCTCGGTCCGGTCAGCCCCACCTGTCCACCCCGAACCCACACACTCCTTGCTTCAAAGCCCAGAGACAACAGGGTTGATGCTTCAGGCAGCAGCTCAGCTCCTCCAGCAGCACCGCGCCGCAGCAGCACCAGGGCCGTGCCAGGAAGCACCCATCCTCCTCCCGGTGCTACCAGCCCTGACCCCCCTGCTCCAGGCAGAGCACCCAGGAGCTCATTCCCCTCTGGCAGGAGCTGAAGTCCTGAGATCCAGGTCACCCATTTTCCACCACTGCCTCCTCCGTGCTTACAAAAGCCGCCCCCCAGCCCCAGGGCTGGCCCAGGCAGAGCCCTTGAGGCACGCTGGATGTCAGAGCACCAAACCCTCCCTCCCCCAGCTGTAACCCGCAGCACCACGCACGCAGACGTCTCAGGGGGGCAAATCCTGCAGGCTCGGACACGGGAAGAGCCCTGCCAGCCCCGGCACCAGGAGATGGACCCCAGCTTCCCCCAAAGCCATCGAGAGGCCCCAGAGCTCTTTGTGGTGGGCACCACGCAGCCCTAACCCTCACCGAGAACTTGGGATGGCCACAGACACCAGAAGATGCTGCAGCGCCCATGCCATGGGATGGAGGAGAAACCAGAGCCCAGTGCCTGAGACACCCGCAGGCACCTCCTGGGTCACCCCTCACCCTGCCAGGTGCTGCACCGGCACCAACCGTTCACCTGCCACAGCCCCAGCACCTTCTTGGCTCCCAGCCGGCAGGAGATGGGTGCTATGGGAGCTGCACACCGCACTCATCACCCCCTGGGTGCTGCGCTGCCACTCTTGGTGCTGGCTGGAGGAGGGAGGTGTCCAAGCCCTGCGCTATCGACTCTTCCCAGGAGAAGGATGCCTCTGGGTCCCCGGGGTAAGGCCAGGAGCTCTGCACATCCCTGCGCTCAAAGATGCTTCCCACTGCTCACAATGAGAGCTTGGGGAACAGTGTTCATTTAAACCCATCAGCGACACTCGGCAGCCTATGGACATGTATTTAATAGGAACTGCTTCCAAACCTGACTCTCAGCAGTTGGTCTGAGCCGTAACAAGGGCTCCAGAGCACGTAAACCAGCCCCAGGTGAACCGTGGTGAGGGGACAGAGCTGACTGAGCCCTGAGGAAGAGCCAGCTCCCCTGCAGCTCCTGTTCCAGGCCGCGGGCTGGTGGCAGTGCACGAAGGAGTTAAAGCAGCTCCTTTGTTCCCTTTAGTTGAACATTAAAAACCTTTCCTAAGGAAAAACTGGACTGATCTGGCCAAATACCAGCTCCCACCCAAACAAGGCTTTAACCCTCAAGTGACAGCACCCACCCTCCCTCCACCGCTGGGCAAGGAACACCTATGGCTGCTCCCCAGAGCCAGCAGGAGAGCCCTTCCCCACCCAAATCCTGACTTTCCGGACATGGAGCTGTGCTGAGGCCCCGCTCTTGGCATCGAGGCACGTGCCCACAGTCAGGCAAAGGAGGCAGCCCAGAGGATGAGCTTCCTGCAGCTCTGCCCCAGGAGCAGGGAACTGGGCTACATGGAACCCTGGAATGGGTTGGGGTGAAGGGAGCTTAAAGCTCCTCCAGCTCCAACCCCTGCCATGGGCAGGGACCCCTTCCACTGGAGCAGGGTGCTCCAAGCCCCTGTGTCCAACCTGGCCTTGAGCACTGCCAGGGATGGGGCAGCCACAGCTTGGGGAGCCGGTGAGACACTGGCACAGCTTGCCCAGAGAAGCTGTGGATGCCCCATCCACAACTACATCCTGCCTCCAAGACCCCCATAACCATGGCCCAAACCCCACCTTTCACTGCAAGCTGGGACCTCCGGTTGCTCAGGCACCTGTATGTGTCTGCACTGTAGGACCCAGGTAACGGGGCCAGCTCCGAGTGCTGCAGGGAGCAACAGAACATGAAGGATAGAGACAACGTGGTTATAAATGGCTTAGATCAGACATTAGGCAGAAGCTCTTCCCTGGGAGGGTGCTGAGGCGCTGGCACAGGGTGTCCAGAGGAGCTGTGGTTGCCCCATCCCTGGCAGTGCTCAAGGCCAGGTTGGACACAGGGGCTTGGAGCACCCTGCTCCAGTGGAAGGGGTCCCTGCCCATGGCAGGGGTTGGAGCTTGAGGAGCTTTAGGGTCCCTCCAACCCAAACCACTCTGGGGTTCCTCAGAACAACCAAGGAAAGCTCCTGCAAGGGGATTCACAGCGGCACAAAAAGCACTTGGCTCTTTTGCCTCCTGCCATCGCCCCCAAGCTCAGGAGCAGCGTTTGGGGGGGGTCTGCGGGGAGCTGGGAAGCTGCAAAGCCTTTGGGGACCAACACCCCACAAGCAGCCCCATCACACCCTGGACACCCGGCGTGGCCCCAGCAGCAGCCAGCGGTGGGTGCTGCTTTAGACAAAGCCCCGCGTGCTCCTGCCTGCTCCCTCTGAAGCAGGAGAAGCTCCTGCAGCTCCCGGGGATGTGTTTCCCTCCAAAGCCCCAAACTCCCCTGCACAACTGAACGTGCTTTGGGGCAAAGTCATTTTATGCAGGAGTTCTGGGGTGGGAGAAGATCTCCTGGGCAAGAAGGGGAAAAAGCAACGGCAAAAGAACTGAGCGGATGGAAGCCCTCAGCCCGTGCCCGTCCATCACCTTCAAAGCCATCCCTGCTCTCCTCAAGACCTGATTCCAGGCAATAACGGCCCCATGAAGCCTCCAGGCTCCGTAACCACCACGAAGCACGATCCTCCCTCAGCACCCAGCAGCGCCCGCCCCCAGGGTACCCACGCGCCTCTTCCATAGGGAGCCGGGGAAACCCCCCCGGGAGAAGCCACAAACAGGCTCAAAGCCCCGGGGTGCCCACTGGATCCTCCCCCTTCCCGCAGCATCAGAGCAAATGTCAGATGGGAGGGCAGGTCGCGCACGCTGCTCCCTGCTGCTCCCTGCCAGCGCAGCGCAGGAGCAGGCTCCAAAGAGTCCTCAGGTTTCAGATGCCAGCGGCGCAGCCACCGGGGACAGGGAAGAGGGAAAGGAGCCCTGAAGCTTCGCAAGTGCCCCCAGTGCAAAGCTGCATGTCCCTGCGCACGCGGGAGGCTCCTGCCCTCCCTCCCCAGCACAGGGAGCGCCGGCGGACCCCTGCTCCCAGAAGCCGCTGTCGCAGGGGGGCGATGGACGCGCTCCCCCCCAGGCTCACCCCCCCCCCGCTGCGGGTTTTGCCCCAGCGCTCCGGTTAAACCAACCCCAAAGGCTCCGACAGCTCCCAACAGCCGGGGAATGGCTTCGGGAGGCCGCTGGATCTCCTTGTCCTGGAAGAAAGAGGGACGGAGCCTGGATGCGGGCGGAGCGCTGCTCTTCCACTTCCCTGGGAGCTGCTTGCGTGCGTTACCGCTCACTTTCAGCCCTGACTTTCCCCATTTCCAGCTGCAGCCGCTCCAGAAAGCCCCAGTTTCGTGTCAAGGCATCTTCCTGTGGCACCCTCCTCCCGGGCAGCTCAGCCGCATCCCTGCCCCTGCCCCATCCCTGCCCCCGTGCCCAGCTGCTGGGAGGAATTCACCGGCGCAAAGCGCTGCCCATAAACCCAGAGCCCGGCCACGGGCTCCCAGCACAGCGGGGACCAGCCCCGCACCAGCGAGTCCCCAACACCGCAACCGCGACCCCAGCCCCAAGCCGCCGCCGCCACCGCCACGTCCCGGCCCCGTCCGCAGCCGCCCCCCCGGTGCGAGGCCCGACGTGCGGCCCCGTCCCACGTTACCTCATGCTGTAGGCCCCGGCGCCCAGCTCCTGCCCGATGCCCGACAGGCTCGCGTCGAAGTCCTGCACCAGCCCGGACTCGATCACCTCGTCGGCCAGCGGCAGCTTCAGCGCCCAGGCCATGCTGCTCCCCGCTTCTCCCGGCGTCACCGAGCCCTTGGAGCGGCTCCTCCGGGGCCGTCTGACCCGGGACCCCCAAGCCCCGGCCCCTTCACGCCCCTCCGAGGGGCCGCGCCTGCCCCGAGCCCCTCCGGCCGGCAGCCCCCGAGGGGGCCTCGCTGCCCGGGCACCCCCAGGCCCCTTTCCCCGCTCCGACGGGGCCGTACCCTGGGAGCCCCCCCCAAGGCCCCGCGGTGTCCCGGGGCCGCCCCCCCCCCCCGGCCGAGCCCCGTCGAGGGCCCCGGGCCGCGGCCCCGCAAGATGGAGGCGGTGGCACCGAGGAGCTCTCGCCCCGCCTTCGCAGTGCTCGGCCAATGGGAGCCGCGCGACGCCGGTGACGCGCGGTGTGCGACAGCCAATGGAGAGCTTCGAGTCGGAGCAGCAGCGCTGGGATTGGATGAGGGGAAAGGGTTGGGGCGCTGGTGGGGATGGGGGGCCGGTGCGGTGCCTTCTGGAGGATCGCAGGTTCGAATCCCGGTCCCGGCTCATCCCTGCGCTGAGTTGCGCGGGACTCATCCGGTTGCGGGACGGGGAGCGGGGATTTTCTCCCTCCCGGGGCTGCAGCGGGGATGGAGGGAAAGAAACCGACCCAGGGCCGCCCTCCGCCCCCCCCCGGAAAAAAGGGGAAAGGAAAAGAAAAAAGAAAAATACTGTTTATTTCACACCACTACATCAAGTGCATCAATCCCCATGTCCCGGCCCCAACACCCCCCGTTCAGCCGCCGCCGTTCCTCACTGCTCCCCTGGAGAAATGGGGAGCGAACCCCCCAACCCCCTTGGCGCCGGGGGGGGGGGGGGGTTGGGGCACACTGGAAAGCGGAGCCGCCTCCGTTGTGGGGTTCACCCCCCAGAAAAAAACATCTCAGGGCACTGGGGAGCCCGGTGGAGCCCCAAACACCCACAGCGCTGTAACCAAGGGGGAGGGCTTGTCCCATGGAGAAACCCCTCCGAAATCAAAGCGGGGGTGAAATGAAAGTGGGGTTCAAGCCCCAGCGAGCTGCGACGCTACCTCCGGAACAGGGGAAACCGGCCAAAACATGGGAATCACTCCTCTTGTTGGGGAGGGGGACACACACAACACGGGGGGGGGGGGACAGAGAGCGGTGAGCGCAGGCAGGGTCCGTCACCACGCACGGCACAAGGCAGGGGGGAGGCACAAGGCGGGCGCGATGCCCGCTGTGAACACGCTGCTGTCGGGTGTGATGCGGGGGAGAGAGGATGGGGACGGGACGGACACACGGACACAACTACGGACAAACGGGGGGGGGGGGAGACCCCGCGCCCCCCGCGGGGCTGGGGGCAGAAAGTGCTTTGATGGCAGGAGCTGGGGGGGGGACACGGGGGGGGGCGATGGGGTTCCAGGCGATGCCCGGCTCAGGGGATCTGGAAGACGTTCAGTTTGCTCGTGTTCTTGAGCGTCTGCCGCCGGTTGCAGAACCAGACCCGCACGACCTCGCGGTCGTAGTTGAGCTCTTTGGCGATCTCGGTGATCTCCTGGCCCGTGGGCAGCGCGTTCTTCTCGAAGTAGGCGTTGAGCGCCTCGATGGCCTGGGGCGTGAAGGACGTGCGGCGCTTCCGCTTCTTGGAGGGCTCCCCCCCGACGAACTCCATCAGGTTCTGCTGCCCCTCCTGGTTGCGGAGCTCGGCCTCGCTCAGCCACTTCTCCAGCACCGGCTTCAGCTTCTGCGCGCTCTTGGGGGTGATGTCGAGCTTCTCGAACCTGCCCCGGCAGCGCGGTGAGGGGCTCCGCGGGCAGCGGCCCCACCGGCCCTCCTCCCGCGCTGCCCCGCTCGGCCCAGCTCCCTCCCTCTCCATGCGGTCAGAGGATGGGCTGGGGACACCTCTCACGACACCGGCTCCCTTTTTCCTCCTCTCCAGTTCCCCCTTTCTCCACCGTTCCTCCCGCTCCGATTTCCTCCTTTTCTCCAGTTTTCCCGCTCCTGCAATTTTTCTCCCTTTCTTCATCCTTCAGTCTTTCCTCCTCCCTTTCCTTTCCTTTCCTTTCCTTTCCTTTCCTTTCCTTTCCTTTCCTTTCCTTTCCTTTCCTTTCCTTTCCTTTCCTTTCCTTTCCTTTCCTTTCCTTTCCTTTCCTTTCCTTTCCTTTCCTTTCCTTCCTTTCCTTTCCTTTCCTTTCCTTTCCTTTCCTTTCCTTTCCTTTCCTTTCCTTTCCTTTCCTTTCCTTTCCTTTCTCCTTTCCTTTCCTTTTTCCTTTCCTTTCTCCTTTCCTCTCCTTTCCCTTTCCTTTCCTTTTTCCTTTCCCTTTCCTTTCTCCTTTCCTTCCCCTTCCCTCCCTTCTCTTCCTTTCCTTAACTTCCCTTTCCTGAACTTTCCTTCCCTTTCCCTTCCCTTCCTTCTTTTCCCCTTCCTTTCCTTTTTCCCTTTCCTTTCCTTCCTTTTCCCTTTCCCTTCCCTTTCCCTTTTTTCCCTTTGCTTTCCTTCCCTTTCCCTTTTTTCTTTTCTCTTTCATTTCCTTTTTCCTTTCCTTTCCTTTCCTTTCCTTTCCTTTCCTTTCCTTTCCTTTCCTTTCCTTTCCTTTCCTTTTTCCTTTCCTTTCCTTTCCTTTCCTTTCCTTTCCTTTCCTTTCCTTTCCTTTCTCCTTTCCTTTCCTTTCCTTTCCTTTCCTTTCCTTTCCTTTCCTTTCCTTTCCTTTCCTTTCCTTTCCTTTCCTTTCCTTTCCTTTCCTTTCCTCTCCTTTCCTTTTCCCTTTCCCCTTGCCTTGCCTTTCCCTTCCCTTTTTCTTTCATTTTCCCTTCCCCTTCCTATTCCTTTTTCCTTTCCTATTCTCCTCCTCTCCCCTCCCCTCCCCTCCCCTCTCTCCTCTCCTCTCCTCTCTCCCCTCCCCTCCCCTCTCCTCTCCCCTCTCCCCTCTCCCCTCTCCTCTCCCCTCTCCCCTCTCCCCTCTCCCCTCTCCTCTCTCCTTCTTTCCTTCCATTTCCTCCTTTTCTTTGTCCTTTCCCACAATCCCAGACTGGGTTGGGTTGGAGGGACCCTAAAGCTCCTCCAGCTCCACCCCCTGCCACAGGCAGGGACCCCTTCCACTGGAGCAGGGTGCTCCAAGCCCCCATGTCCAACCTGCCCTTGAACACTGCCAGGGATGGGGCAGCCACAGCTGCTCCGGGCACCCTGTGCCGGTGTTCCCCAGCTTCCCTGCCCTTTTCCCGCTGCCCATCCCATGCTGGTACCTGCAGATGGCCGACTGGCTGTAGGCAGGACCCTCGGTGGCCGTCAGGGCCTGTCCCACCTGCGTCTGCGTCAGCCCGAGGGACAAGCGCCGGATCTTGAAGTTCTTGGCGAATTCCCGGATCTCCTCCAGGTTGATCCCGTCCTCCTCCGCGCTGCTGTTGGGAGCCGGGGGCTCTGCCAGGGCCACGACATGGGAATGATGAGGAATGGCCATGGGGCTGCTTCTCCGCCCCCCATAACGAGCATCCCCTTTGCTGGGCTCCACGGCACATGGTGCCAGCAGCCACCCCCAGGGGTGCAGAGCACGGGCATGCAGCGGTCTCCTTCCCCCCATCCCAGGGCATCCCAGACCCTGGATTCCCTCTTCCCACTGGATCCCAGTCCCTGCCGTGACTCACTGGACACCAGCTGGCTGACGGTGGGGGTCTCGGAGCAGGTGATGGGGACGGGCACGGAGGAAGCCTTGGCCGCCGGGGCAGGGTTTGGGATCACCACGGCCGGCTGGGCGAGAGCTGGGGCCGGCTGGATGGGCTGGACCTGGGCAGAGGGAGAGGGGTCAGCACCCTCATAGCACCCCCATGGCACCCCCATGGCCAGGGCTGCCCCGCTCCCTGCCCACCAGCTCCATCCCTGCACTGGCCACAGCGTTGCTTTTGCTGGGTTTGGATGGAGGCGACACTGGGAACAGCCCAGCTCCTGCTGGGAATGGGGCTGTGACAGCTCTGGGATGTCCCATTCCCATGAGGGAGGTTTGGGGGTGACCAAGGTGAGGCTCAGTCACATCCCATCCTGGCTGAGAGACTTGGTAGGCACAGAGTGGGATGCCCCACGGGGCAGCACTGCAGGGCTGGAGGGGTTACATCCCAAAGAAGCTCATGGGCTCCCAAAGCAGCGTAGTTGGGTCCCAAAGCAATGTGGTTGGGTCCCAAAGATGCTCAGGTGCTCCCAAAGCCATGTGGCTGCATCCCAGACATAATCCCATAATCCCAACATCCTTAGGGTTGGAAGGGACCTCTGGACATCACCCAGTCCAACCCCGGCCAAGGCAGGACCAGCCAGAGCAGGGCACACAGGAACGGGCCTGGATGGGTTTGGGAAGGCTCCAGGGAGGGAGATTCCACACCCAGCCCGGGCAGCCTGCGCCAGGGCTCTGCCGCCCTCAGCATCGAGCTCTTGCTCATGGTGAGGTGGAACTTGCTGTGGGTCAGGTTATGGCCATTGCTCCTCGTCCTCTCACTGGGAAGAGTCCGGCTCCATCCTCCTGGCACCAGCACCTTTGAGCTACTGCTGTGCACTGATCCCCTCTCAGGGTGCTCTGCTCCAGCCCAACCAGGCCCAGCTCCTGCAGCCTCTCCTCAGCAGAGAGACCCCTGAGCATCCCTGTGGCCTCTGCTGGACCTCTCCAGTAGCTCCTTGACTCTGAGGAGCCCAGAACACTCAAGTGTTCCCAAAGCCTCACGGACACATCCCAAAATGCTCAATGCTCCCAAAGCCTCACAGCCACATCCCAAAATGCTCAAGTGCTCCCAGCTCAAGTGCTCCCAGAGCCTCACGGCCACATCCCAAAATGCTCAATGCTCCCAAAGCCTCATGGCCACATCCCAAAGATGCCCAAGTGCTCCCAGAGCCTCATGGCCACATCCCAAAATGCTCAAGTGCTCCCAGAGCCTCACGGCCACATCCCAAAATGCTCAATGCTCCCAGAGCCTCACAGCCACATCCCAAAATGCTCAATGCTCCCAGAGCCTCACAGCCACATCCCAAAATGCTCAATGCTCCCAAAGCCTCACAGCCACATCCCAAAATGCTCAATGCTCCCAGAGCCTCACAGCCACATCCCAAAATGCTCAATGCTCCCAGAGCCTCACAGCCAC